GCTCTCTGAAGTCTCTTCTTTCCTGGTGATTATGTGTTCGATGAAGGTGACTTTTCGACAGGACGGGTGATTATTTTGTGTACAAATCGAAGAATGGGTCGTGACGCTACGTTCACCGAAGAGTCGCCTCCCCACGTCGGCTCCGGTACCAGCTCATCTCCTTCGTCCAAAGGGAAGGAAGAGAGGAGATGGATTGGAAGAAGTGGGAAGAAATTGAAAATGGGGTAGTGGAGGCGTTAAAAATGGTCATTTCCCGTGTTTTCCTCTTGTCCCCTGTTTTTGCTTGAAAACAGCCAAAATGTTGATTTCATTGTTTTGTGTTTTGTGTAAAATTTTTTTATCGTTTTCAAAAACGNTGTTTTTTTCGTTTTGTGTACAAATTTTTTTTCGTTTTCAAAAATGCGTTTTCGAAAATGAAAAAGAGAACGCGTTTTCATTGTTTTGAAAAATCGAAAACAGAAAACGACCCAAAACGGCCAAAGAGAACACCACCTTAATCTTTTAGTTATGAAATCTTCACTTCTTAAAAAAATCATATTTTTTCAAACTAATTCTCAGACAATAAAATAATTTTACAAATAAACTTAAAATATTTTTCTACTTTTGAACTACACGTTCTTCAAAAAATTAATATTAAAATTTTATTTTATTTTTTTCAAAGGAGGCTCTAACACACTGGGAGAATTCACCTTATAATTGTAGTTCAAAGAAGTAATATTGGTTATTGATTAATTAGGAAAATGAGTTAGTTTGTTGTATAATTAAGTAATCAAGATTTGAATTTGATTATTAAAGTTCTGGTAGAAAAGTTTCACATATATTTTAGGAATAATGCTACTTGTACAAAATGAGCTACATAAAGGAAAAATTGTATTGAGTGATTTATTTTTTTAATTATTAAAGCTCATGTTTGACTCTATTTTTTTAAAATTCATTTTAAATCACATATTTTACGGAGTTCACATTTTTTATCATCTTTTCTACCATACATTTTATCATACT